TGATACCTAAAATATTGAATTTTTCAGGATGAACTTTACTATGTGGTAAAAGAATGGGACACCCATCGTATAACATAATCTAGAAATAGTATTTCCCCTTCAGGAAGGCCTTTCATTATGTTCCACATGCCACAGATGCATGACTCACGAAACTATTTATGCCCCATTCCAAACAATAGCATTTCTGCTCTGCGTGACATTTGCATATTTTCAAGAATCCCATGTGATGAAGATGTCTACCATTTGGCAGTTATTGTGATGTGTGAAAACAACATATCTTTACCCTCAAAGGCAGAAGAAGCATTGGAATTGTATGTTCTTTTAAGAACTGATTTGATGAATTTGATTTGAGGTGTTTTAAATTATATTGATAGACCTTTAAGGGCATTCTCCAGATGGATTTGTCATCAGCCATTTGTTTCACCTGTCAGCATCTATGCAATTGGATCCTTTACTCAAGAATGGCTCACCTTGGCACAGCCTTGGGTGTATATATATAGCGTGTCCTACTTCAAACGGCCTCCCCTCTATATCTCACCTATTAGTCATACGAATCGTACCAAATATGGACCGGAATGTAAACATTTGAATGACCATCAATATGATCATATTTTCAGAGATGAACATCTTTTTTGACAGTTCCACGCGTTTTTATTGAAACGAAAAGGGTTCAACTTTTTATGAAATCATATTAGGAATTTTTTACAGGAAAACTGACCTCATAATATCATTTTTCATGGTGTCAAACGCCCATATGTAAATTGTCATATGATGTCTATGAAGGGTTTCAAAAAAACAGACACATCTAGACAGCATTCTTGCGAACGTTAATAATTATTTACTCGGAAATGGTGTTTCTACTAAATCCATCTAACATACCAAAATTTGCAGTTAATTTGAATTCACTAATTTTATGACCAGAAAATGTGAAAAATGTAGCCAATCCTGTTTATTTAAAATGAGGTAATTTTTTGCATATGGAAGTTTGAAAACATGAGAAACAATAATAATATGAAGCAAAAAAATCCTAATATGATTTAATGAAAAATCGAAGCCTTTTGCCACTGTCCGAAATTATGTTGGTCTTAGAAAAATTGATCATATTGATGGTTATTCATACCAGTCCAAATTTGGTAGGAATCACACAGGGGGGGGGGAAGCATGCACATTGCAGTGTTTCTTAAGGAAATTAAGAATTACTTGCTTATTTGTCTCATTAGATATTTGTATACATTTTGTCAGATGAGGATAGGATAAGGATATCAAAAAAAGATAAGTTGCATGGCAGGATTGACAATTCTTCTTTCATTTTCAACCTAGGAACCTAATTCATCAAATACACTCATTCACCAATTGTACATTTTTTTCATTCCCTTCATTACAATATCTAAGGTCCTTATTGTTAATTGTAGAATTCTTTGTTAAATCTCTTTTCTATTAATATTTAATAGTTACATTATGTAACAAGTGTCCTTTCAATAATGAGTATTTTGAACATCAGCATAGTGGAGCAAATGTTCAATAACCGAGAGTCTAAAAGGAGCTAGTTTATATACACTTGTTACATTCCATAATTTTTGCATTGAAGAAGCTATAGAGGTGCAGGGTATAGGAACGGTGCAAAATTCACTGATGTCTACCAGAAATAATAATAATAACCAAGATACAGACCTTGTAAAATATAAGTTCATACAAAAAATATTCCTTATTGGATACAACAAATTTGGAACAATTAAACTACCTAAAATTTTCAGAAACATGGAGTACCAACAACTTATAAAGAGGAACTAAAAATCGTTCTTCTTGATAAAGCATACCACGAATTAGTCGACTTATTAATGATGATTCAACTGTAACATCAATACAACAAAATACTGCATAAGCTTGTAAGACATTTTTTTTCTAATTCTTAAAGTGTTCGATCTCATGAACGGCTGAACCGGCTCAACAACCTATATATTTTTGAAAATAACGAAGTTTGTACCCATTTCTTATATCAGCGATATTCATTTGTTTCACCTCGTACAGTGATGATTTGGAGACTGGTTGATTACTAAAATACAAAATATAAAGACCCAAAAATACCAAAATACGTATTTTGGCAACTATAAGTTGCCATCCTCAGTAGACCTGTAAAGTAAAAATGATCAGCTGACTCATAGTGGCTGACTCCTTAGTATCTTTCGGATATTGCAGGTCGACCTCTGGACAATATCCGAAAGATAAATCGAAGGAGTTAGCTAATCATTTTTACTTTACAGGTTGGCAACTTAGTTGCCAAAATACGTATTCAGGTTTCTCTAAATATTATGGTATTTTTGGGTCTTTATATTTCACCTCGTACAATTTTCTGGATGTTTGGAACACACCCTACAACTTTTGTATTTGAAGTTTGTTTCTATCTTCAATGATAAACCCTGTAGAACCTCTTTAAATATTCAGGGTGTTTCTTGAGTACGTGTAAAAAAATCAGAAGCATGTTGCTGACGTCAAAATAAGAAGAAAAGTTCGTATAAACATATATGTCCGCAAGTTATTCATTATTGAGATAACTCGAATTCACCAAAAACCGGAATGACAATGAAACTTTGATACTCTGTATCTCAGAAACGAATAACTTGTCGACATATTTTTATGAAAACTTTTCTTTTTATTTTGACGTCAGCAACATATGCTCCTGAATTTTGTACACGTAAGTACTTAAGAAACTATCCCTGTGTACAGAAATGGCCCTGTACATGGTGCAGATTTTGATTCTGAAGTAAATTGTTGGGAATCGAGCAAATTGTTATTTAATATATAAATTTAAACATTGTCATGCAAAAATGAAATACAAGAACATCATACGACTGATTTATTCACTTTTATCACATGAGTCTATACAAGTGCTGACATACTCATTTATTTAAAACAAAACAACATTCAATCTCGAAAATGCCAAGTGGAGGTGTGCACTTCTGAGAACAGCGATATGAATAAAAACATGATGGTAAGAAAAAAATTGATTCAACTTATTCATTTCAAATTATAGATTCCACATAATGACGTTATGCAAGCATATCAACCGCAAGGTGAGTATGATAGCTACTTGACTTCACTTCTGCCACTGTCGTGTAACAAAGAAAACTCAGCAATAAGCACACTCATTCAATAAAACATAAAATAACAGCTTTATGAAGGCTACCTATACTCGAAAATAAAAATGGGTTTGCCAACTTTTTTCCCATTTTCGGCAGTATGGTTGTCAACCAAAAGAGAATATTTATTACTTGTCCCCATTTGTTATGATGACAATAAAACTAATAACTTCACTGGAAGCCGAGAAGCACCATATATAATATGTACATTACTTCCAATGGAAGCACACCTGTATCATATGTAATTGTTGAGTAAGAATCTTGAGATTTGCAGGAGCGAGGAATATACCAAAAATACACTCTATGACCAAGTGGGGTCATCTTCAGTAATTTACACTGCTCGCCAACAGCCATGGAACCACTCACATTTCTGGAAAATGATATTAGGAGGCGAGATAGGTTGTAAATCACTTCGGATTCGAAATCCGGACGTTTAATTTACTAACTATTCATATATTACGTTAATTATAGAGGTAGGATTCTGGAATTTGCAGGAGAAAGGAAGAGTTCAAATATACAGCTAATGACCAACTAAAATTATCACCAGTTATATACACTACTCGCCAGCAGCCATGTGAGTGGTTCCATGGCTGTTGGCGAGCAGTGTAAATTACTGAAGATGACCCCACTTGGTCATAGAGTGTATTTTTGGTATATTCCTCGCTCCTGCAAATCTCAGGATTCTTACTCAACAATAACATATGATACAGGTGTGCTTCCATTAGAAGTAATGTACATATTATATATGGTGCTTCTCGGCTTCCAGTGAAGTTATTAGTTTTATTGTCATCATAACAAATGGGGACAAGTAATAAATATTCTCTTTTGGTTGACAACCATACTGCCGAAAATGGGAAAAAAGTTGGCAAACCCATTTTTATTTTCGAGTATAGGTAACCTTCATAAAGCTGTTATTTTTTGTTTTATTGAATGAGTGTGCTTATTGCTGAGTTTTCTTTGTTACACGACAGTGGCAGAAGTGAAGTCAAGTAGCTATCATACTCACCTTGCGGTTGATATGCTTGCATAACGTCTTTATGTGGAATCTATAATTTGGAATGAATAAGTTGAATCAATTTTTTTCTTACCATCATGTTTTTATTCATATCTCTGTTGTCAGAAGTGCACACCTCCACTTGGCATTTTCGAGATTGAATGTTGTTTTGTTTTAAATAAATGAGTATGTCAGCACTTGTATAGACTCATGTGATAAAAGTGAATAAATCAGTCGTATGATGTTCTTGTATTTCATTTTTGCATGACAATGTTTAAATTTATATATTAAATAACAATTTGCTCGATTCCCAACAATTTACTTCAGAATCAAAATCTGCACCATTTACAGAGCCATTTCTGTACACAGGGATAGTTTCTTAAGCAAGGTGAAGTGGGGTAACAGCGACCCAAAATTCGTGAAGTTTATATATCATCTACTGTGAAAAATCCATTTTTTTTTCAATGACTGCGAAATCATAGGAATAGTACCATGAAACTCTTAGTAATATATACTGGAAATGTCAGGTCTTATTTCCACAGAGATACGCTCATGCTGTATATATTTTTATTTTAGTGACATTGGGTCGCACTTGCCTCATTACATGGGGGAAGTGCGTTTTCATGAACCATATGAACATTTGAATACACGTTCATCCATAAGGGGTAAGATCGTTTTTATCATGCGATTAGCTTCAAAATGCTTTTTTACAGGTTGAAATATCTTCAATATTGAGGAAGTTACAGTAGTTTTCAAATATGATGTATTATTGAATCTCTAGGAAAACAAATATTCATTTTATTCTTCAATAAAATAATGAAATTTACAATCTAAAAATTCTCAGAAACATATCAAAGTTACTTATTCTATTAAACATTATAGTTTGAGAAATCAACTGGAAATTCTATTTCTCCTCGGCGTCCATATAATGGGGTGGGTAGAACTCGAATGATATTTTCTTCAGATATTAAACTAGAGTCTTCGATATCTGGGAAGACAAATACTGTTTTTCTAGTAAGTTTTACTTTATTAATTTTTCTGGCGAATTTGACCACTGGTTCATTTTCTACCATCTCAATTATTTGGCCAACAAAATGCCTGATAGTTTTTTTTGTTGGGAACTTGACAAGCACCCAGCTGAGTATCACCATGTCAATTGCATCGGTATTGAATTCATCCATATCAGCTTCATCATCTTGCTCTCTTCCAACCATAGTAAGTAATGATTCGTTGACATCGTCTTCGCTATCGTGCAAACTCAATTCAGCATCACTCTCTTCGGATATCATGTCATCTATACTCGGTTCTTTTCTGATTCTTTTATTTTTCTTAACTTTTTTCACTGTAGATTTAGCCATTTCTTCTTCTTTCATGCGCTGTAAAACTTCTTCCCCTGTCACGACTTCTGCACCAGTGGCCACTTTCCTTTTCTTCTTAGGTGCTTCAGATTGACTTTGTTTGATTGTGGATATGAGTAGCTCTTCAAAACGAACTTTTTCTGAGTTGGTGCCTACAGTAGGCTCTGAACGTGCCTGATGAACATCTGAACTGGTACATGCAGTATACTGTGGGAGTACCTGAGCACTAGCAGAGCTAATGCTAATGCTTGTAGTGGGATCTGGAAGCGTCTGATCTTGCTGATTCGATCCATTGTCAGCATGTTCTGGCAAATTCAGTGATTGCCATTTCTGTAGTAAAATGGGATCATATTTTTCATTTGGGATAATTTTATCGTTGAATGGATAGATTCCTCCCTTCTTGAATCCATTACAAATGGTTTCAATTTTGGTTTCGAGCCATAATTTCCCTACTATCTTGGAAAATTCACTTTTTGGGAGCTTTTTCCCAATATGTTGTCTCTGCCACTTCACTAGAGCTTGATCCCAATATGTTTTCAATGGTTTGAAAACCGAAAGGTCTAACGGTTGAAGGAGGTGGCTAGAGTGGGGTGGCAACTTGATTATTTCAACTTGTTCTTTTTTTGCCATTTCTAGGACATTGAGACTGAGATGAGTACTATGGCCGTCGAATATCAGTAATGTGGGTCTCTCACTACCAATGTGCTTCAAGAATACCCGTTCGAAATATTTCGCAAACACATCGGACTGCATCCAACCATTATCTGTGCATGCATAAGAGGTTTCTGGGAAGCCAGAACCTTCTGGTGCCTGCCATTGGTCCCACATGTTTTTTGCCTTGAATATAATTAGAGGGGGGGCTTTACCTCCAGCTGCATTACAAGCCATCAAGACAGATATATTATCTCTGCCTGATGTACTTGTTGTTCTTGTAGATGGTTGCCCTTTGACTCCCACAACCTTTGTCTTCGATGGGTCTATGCAGAATGATGTTTCGTCTAGGTTCCAAATTCGCCAGCAGCCATGTGGGTAGTTCTATGGCTGCTGGCGAGCAGTTGTAGAAAGTGAGACAAAATTTAATTTTTCATAACTGAACATTTTCCAGGAGAAATATGAATAGTTAGTAAATTGGACGTCCTGATTCCGAATCCGAAGTGATTTTCAACCTATCTTGTCTCCTAATATAATTTTCTTGAAATGTGGATGGTTCCATGGCTGTTGGCAAGCAGTGGATCACTGAAGATGATTCCATTTGGTCAGAGTATATTTTTGGTATATTTCTCGCTCCTGCAAATTTCAGAATCCTAACTATACAATAATTACATAAAATACAGCGGTGCTTCCATTAGAAGTGAGACACTGTTTTTTTTTCATAATTGACAGATACTAAATGATAACTGTTAACTAGTATAACTAGCAGACCAGACCTTGGACCAGACCAACAGTTTCTTGAGTGTGACATATTTTAGTGTTTAATTATTCCACCTAAAAAATACTGTAACATCCACTTTTGGTAAATGTTACTTTTTCTACGAAATATTGAATGTACCAAGTATTCAACTGACATTTTCAGAGTAATTGATTCAACTCTGGTTTTCACTGAATGTATTTGGAGAATTTTCATCACCTTTGGCAGGATATTCTGAGTTTTTCTGTTACAGATTTCATGGAGCTGCGAGTCACTGGAATTCGTGCGAGAACGTCCTGTATAGGATTTTGATTGAATTGCATTATGTAGTTTTGACTTGATGAAAGTGTATTATTTTCAGTTTGTTTTGAAAATGTTAAGGGGAAATGTCAAACAGATTGTTGAGGTTCAAAAAATTGTAATTTCAATTCTTCTTTTTTCTTTTGTCTCATGTACAATCAACCAGTAGCTTCACTGGCTATCAGCATTCAACGAGATTAAATCGCGACAGTAACGTCCATGGCTCTGGCTGCTATTAGTAATATCTTATTGAAGCTGCATATGATCTGTATTGATTATTGATTATTCATTTTGACCTGGTGTCGGTTCTTGCAACGGTGGAATCGAATTGAATATATTGATTTATTGACATAAATGACATGGACATTTGAATATTTTGATTGATGATTGGAGAAGAGAAAGAAAGATTGAAAATCGTTTCTTTCTGCATCTGGCCATCATGAAGTGAACTTGTAGGTGGATGTCTGTTAATTTACATTTTTGAACATCCACAATTTTCTATCATGAACATCTTATAAAAGGTAACTATTCGATTATTATAGAAATTCTTGATCGATTGAAAAGAATATTTTTGTGAAATTTGATCCATATTCAAGAAAATTAATTGATGAACTTTCATCATCTCAAGGTTGCATTATTACAACATGTTTTCCATTTTTCATATGTTATAGTTCTGCCAGACTTTATTCTAGTATACTTTATTCTAGTATACTTTATTCTAGTATACTTTATTCTAGTATACTTTATTCTAGTATACTTTATTCTAGTACTCTTGATTCTAGTACTCCTTATATAATGACACTTATATAAGTAAACTTGCTGATATATACATTTCTTGTATATTTTGTGATGTAACTATATCAACTATTTTGCTGAATGCTTTTATGGACTCGAAAGAGTGAGCATTTTTTGATGATTTTATGAAACAGTCTTCATGGAAAGATTGTCCTGGCTATTAGCCGATTTATTGTTCCTGTATATCACTGGAAATTTGATGTTCATTTCAAGAAGATAGAAATTTGCAAAGTTGATGTCATAAATTCAATATCCTGGCTGGACTAAGCATACATATAGGTCACCTGACAACTCACCAGACTCGTATGCCCATGGAATCTGGGATGGATCCCAAAATGATGATGAAATTGACCATGATGTAATTTGGAAGCTGATATCAAGATCTATGAGCTCTGGTCTATCGACATTTCACTGGATTATTAACATTCTTGCTGACTGTGGCGAAGTTATGCAATTTTGAAATTGAAGTTGCCAAATTATTGTTTTAGTTATGATTTACTGAATTGTATTCTTGCAAAAGATGCTCACAAGGCACGGCAGCTCTTCGTCTGGCGAGCAGTGGTTGTGAATTCTATAACTTACTTTGTTGAGAGCAGGGGGCGCCACTCAGTTTAATCAAGTAAAAACTAAGAAAATGCACTATATGACAAATTACTACCTGAAAGAGAAATTTAAGTGAAACACTGTGTGAACTCAACAGATTTAATGTAGGAAAATCTCAAGTACCTTGATGGTGTGTAATATTTCCTTATTTAGCAAAATTCATTATGTTTCATGGAAAACAATCAATTTCAAACTCCCTAATGTCTTTCAACCTAGGTTCCCGATATAGTACTATAATGGGCGAACAGGGTAGCTGAATAATGTGATATATGAGTATCTACTCAACTATATACCTGAGATTTAAATTACTATGACCAAACTGCAGTATTATGAAAAATATCTTATGTAACAGAGTGACACATTCAACTTAGGATTCAATAATTATTAAAGAACACAGTCATGATATAGGGAAAAAAAAAATATAGCAACATAGTTTCTTGGAAAATGGTTGATTTCCTTTCTTACTCAACCAGACGTCTCTGGTGATGACTCCTGGAAGCTGGCCTACACCTCAGGCCCTCCTACTGGCGAGGCAACAGCCTGACATAGGCGGCACTCTGGTGGAAACAGCGCCCCAAAATCCGCTGACTTAGAGACAGCTTTACGACGACTCTAGAGTGTAGGGCCCCAGCTAGAAGAGGATCTACTTGAGGTTGGTCTTGGCGACCCAGGAATTGGTGGTCTAGGGCTCCGGCGATTTTCCACTACCTTGCGGCCCAGCAGAGACGAGATCTCCAAATCCGCAGCAGTCTGTCCAGAGAAGCCAGCAAAATCCTCCGAAATGCCAAATGATGAGATTGGCAACTTCTCAATTCCAGAACTATCATATATGGGAACCGAAATGGCGACCTCGTGGTACGTTTTCCATCGGTCCCAGCAGGAGGCCCACAGATCTATAAAAATAGATTCTGTAGCACCCAGAAACACTAAACTCCTGAAGCCCCAATCTTCCCATAGGAATTCAATAGCAAACTTACCCCAAAAATATGGAAAGGCCTCAATTCGGACACCAAAATCAAAATGAAGAGCCTTCATCTTGCTGCCTGTTCAACAGCCACAGAAAAATGACGAAGGGCAACTTGGAGGGATATATTCTGCGCCTTCTCTAGAAGGTTCCCACAAAAATCTATTTGAAAAAAATACACTTTTCTCCTGCGCACACGAAAATGACAACTAATTGTTAAGCGTTCGTCACGAGACTCAAATACTGTCCCCTGATTGGTCCAAATCTGCGAAAGAACGGCGCAATTTCCGAATCATCTCCGACTACACTCGGCTCCATACGAACTGTCAATAAACCACAAACACATAGGACAATCAGAATAAGGTGAAAGTCACGGGACCACGGCCAGCTAAGGTAAACGGGTACCGCGTGCTATGGGCTGCTACAAGTCGTTCCGTGTCTTCTCACTCGTACCATGCGAATGACCGAAGAATTTGGGAAGAAGAGTAAATGCTTAATGCCTGTCAAGCGGCTAAAGAGAAAAATAAGAGCAGAGTCAAAAATAACCTCCCATTTTCATCCATCTACCTGTCAAAGATGATATAAATAAAAATACAAAACCATCACAAAGACAATGATGAACGATAAGGCCAAGACCAGAATTCCACAACATCATTAGCCTTCCTCACCAGCTACCATGAACTAACCATCAACATCAACATTCTGAATGAAAAATACTAAGTGTACTGAAGCAAGTTACTTATGAGAGACAGGTGAGTTCTTTCTGAATTATCATAAGTTAAAATACTAATGTCTAGTCATTTTCAGGTCCTGAGCCAACAGTTTTGATACCCTCAACCCAAGGTACTATCAAAGATATAGTGTTATGTTAAGTTCTGAGTTTGAATAAAAGAATCCATGTACAGAGTGAGTGTCTCAATTATCCAAAATAGTTATTGAGTATAGAATTGAAACTGAAAATTCGAGACAAGGTAATTTTCACGTTACACACACCCCCCTACTAAATAAAAGAAAAATTTTTGCTAACAAAATTTTTCGTTTCAATAATGAAAAGGTAAAGAGCGACTTAATACGATCCAGAGAGTTCGTTTTTTCAATAATTTTCATCCTAAACTAGGCGCGCCTTATTCTACCTTACTCCTAATCTTAACTGTTCCTAAACTCTTAACTAATTTACAGGACTACTATTTACAATTTGAATCACTGCAGATCTGCTTTAAGCTATTATTTGAAATTTGACAAGTTACTCAACGGATGCTTCTGATCCCGAATCTTCTACAACAGAAAGATCGGACATAGACCCATTATAGGGCTTCAAGTCTTGTATGTGCCAAACTCCAGCATCTGTGCCATTCTCGTTTTTTAAAACGTAGACCAAACTTTGTCTCCAACAAAAAATTCTTTATCACGTCGACGTAAATTATAATACTTAGCGTTTTTCTGATGTGCAGCATGAATTTTATTCTGAACATCTTCATAAATTTCTGACATTTTCCCTAAATTTTGAATCCAATAATCACGGTTAACCAAATCGATATCTACGTTACCCCTCCCATAATA